TCGAATTACCACGCGTCGAATTACCACGTATCGAATTACCACGCGTTGAATAGCGATGCGCTGGATTACTACGCGTTGAGTATCCACGCATTGGATTACCACACGTTGCATTACAATGCGTAAAAATCGGAGCGCAATTAAGTGCGTTCAGCCATTGTCTCGAATTGTCGCTCTTACGTCTGCGTATGCGCAATCACCGTGCTCTGATTGGTCCGTGTTACGCTACCATTACAGAGACCTGCACCAGTGAAACACCCTGTATATCGAAAACGTTCTATATAATATACTGATGAAATAGAATTTGAAAATTGAAATTAATAGCAGTATGAAAGAAATAAAAATCTTCTGAAATTCTATTCCATCTATGAAATACAGAAACTGAATGTGTTTATTTCGACTTCGATTCTGTCAAGGGTTGTACCTCACAAAAATACTTATAATTATTAAATTAGTATACTTGTACCTACCGTTGGGTACCGTCGGTGGTTTTTTCGTCTGCACCCTCGCTGTCGCGTTGTTCACCTGTCAAACGAACAACAAATGCGTTAAAAATGATCCAACCTCCTCCGCGGAACACAAATTCTATCTCTACGTCGATCTCGAGACTCGTGCGTTTTTCCTGAACTTTACAAAAATTCCAGTTCGATAAAGTTATCGAACTCCCGTATTTCAACCGAAAAATTTAGCGAAAATATTTCCTGCCAGAAGTTTGCCGAATCTGTTTGCGAAACTCGGGAGTTCTTGTTTTCCTGGCAGGCTTCGGAAGCATTTTTCCATCCAGCAGGATTTCCAGGATACATATCGAAACAAACGGCAATTTCGCAGGACCACGCACGAATCTCGCGATCGACGATGCGTCGATGAATGCGCAATCGGATTCGCAATTTTCCCTCCGCGCGTGTATATCGCCCTCTCAATTTTCATTCCCAACGAAATTTTCGCCCCCGGAGCGAACGTATCTGACCCGTGCGAATCGTCAGTCGAGCATCGATCGACGAATCATCCCGTTAGTTTTCGCAAAAAACCGCTCGCAGCCGTGCGTTCTGATTCCTTTGATTCCATTTGCCAGACATTTATTTCCACCTTTTTTTTAATTTCTATTTTTTCCGAAACAAAACACAGACTCGATCGACGCGGCTGCGAGCGCTGGCTTGAATTTAGAGATTTTGGTTGGCGGAAATCTGGAGCGATCCTCGAATCGAATTTGGCAACTTTCAAAATTATTTAATCGATCTACGACGAATCCACACATATGTATAATATAATAATACATCTCATATGTAATCATACAACTCATATGTAATATAATATGTATTGTATATTTATTTATGTACTATTTATAGAGACTAGATGTTTTCTTGTTGGATAAATCCCTGGTTGATGTAGAATATGTAATTGATACTGTAGATATAGTAGACTTTCGTTATATTGCCAGATGCGTACAGGTTTGATGGCAATTATTGGTGATTCATCAGATGTGACAACGCATCGACATGGTTGATTGCAACACGGTGATGTGATAAGACGTTAATGTTGCAATGCATTGATTGGATGACACATATGGCGACGTCTGGACAGAACGCATTAAGACAGCGTCTCAACGCTGCATCTTCAGCAGAGATCGCCAAATGGATCTACACATGTGGCAATATAACGAGAGCTCCGTTAACTAATAAGTTTGCCAAATTGTTATCGATTCCTGCTTCCAAATCTTTCTAAATTCAAGGAAAGTTTCGAGTACATCTAATGCTCGGTGCTCGTGAAAATTCCAAATTTTTTGGAGCTTTCAAGAACCCAGAATCGATCGATTTTATAAAGCTTGATTTAAAAGAGATATTTTGAGAAATTAAAAGCGATCGATTCGTGGAGCGAAATTTGAGAAAAGTGGAGCGTGTTTAGCATTGTGTTCGAAAACGATATCGGAAGAAAGCTCCACTTTTCCGTATAATTGGAAAAAGAAACGTTGAAAAAGAAATCAAGAGACTGTTACCGTCGATCTCTCATTATTTCAACCTCGCACAAGCACTTTCGTAGCCAATGAATGCGACAAAAGGGAAAAAAGGAGGATCTCGATGTTTCTTTTCATCAGCTGGTTACCTCTTACCGTACACCCGGGGTTCTTCGTCTTCTTTTCATTCCTTTTGCCTCGCGGAAAATAAAAATAATAAACGTCTCCTGGAGACACTCCCGTCCGTTCTGTTCTCTGATTTGCTTGCCACCTGTGTCTACATTATTCTCTTCTCCATTGAAATTTCCATTCTGTACTCGTGAAAACTTCCGGAAGGTCTTTAAAAATGGGACGTTGAAGAAGAAAATACGGGGCTTAAATTCCAAAACGGAGTTCGCGCGATAAACTAGAAGCGAACGAGTCGAAAGAAATCCTTGCCTCGCTCTTGTTTCTCTGGGAACCCTTTCGACGCAACAATCGTAAGCCAATTGCGTCGATACGTCGAACAATTTGCATTTTACGATCTTGTTTCCAGCAACGAGGATTTGTCGCCGCTGTTGCAACGCGACATCGCGTTACAGTAATGGTCGGATTAAGCGAGCCTCGTTTCTCCTAACGAGCGATCGCGTTTCGTTTTATACCCAGAAATTAGGTGTCCAGCCAATAAATTGGCCAATTTTATCAATGGGACGAGAGAAACCTTCACGGAGCGTATGATCACGCTATTACGGGGCGATCAAAATTTTCCTTTGGATTTTTATTAGGATTTAGTTTTCTCGAAATTGAAGAATAATCTTTTTCCTTTGGAAGATTCTCTTCTTTCTCGACTGAAAGATTACTTTAATCTTCTTTGTTTTCTCTTGCAATATGAAGCAAATAATTTTTGTATGACAAACTATTATTACTGTATTGATAAATGTATGCTACTGAATTTAGATGTAATTTAGATTTAGATTAAATGTTACTGAATTTACTCTTCAAAAAATTAACCACAATGTGTCTGGTGTTTCAAATTCACTTGAATTAATTATTTGTACAAAGAGGAGCTTTCAAGACGTCTTTCTGTATTTTTAGAAAGAAACTGAATAAATATACGCTAATTTAGATTTAGATTAAATGTAAGTTATTGAATTCGCTCTTCAAAAAGTTAACCACAATGTACTTCACTTTTCAAATTCACTTGAATTAATTATTTGAACAAAAAGGAGCTTCCAAGACGCCTTTCTGTATTTTTAGAAAGAAACTGAATAAATATACGCTAATTTAGATTTAGATTAAATGTATTTTCTTGAATTCGCTCTTCAAAAAGTCAACCACAATGTACCTCACTTTTCAAATTCACTTGAATTAATTATTTGAACAAAAAGGAGCTTCCAAGACGCCTTTCTGTATTTTTAGAAAGAAACTGAATAAATATACGCTAATTTAGATTTAGATTAAATGTATGTTATTGAATTCGTTCTTCAAAAAGTCAACCACAATGTACCTCACTTTTCAAATTCACTTGAATTAATTATTTGAACAAAAAGGAGCTTCCAAGACGCTTTCTGTATTTTTAGAAAGAAAGTGAAGGGTTGCAGATAAGAAAGCGAAGTTATGAAGAAAAATTGTGCAGGCAAATCTGAGGTCATAACTCTTTTCTGTATCTAAAGAAAATAATTAAGGGTAGCAATGTTGGGTGAGAACGAGTTGAAGTTATCAAGAGAAATTTTGCAAAAGCATCTGATAAATATGAGGTCACCATCATAACTCTTTTGTATACCTTCAGAAAAATAATTAAGCGTGAGAACAAATAAGGTTATGAAGAAAAATTGTGGAGGGAAATCTGGTGAATCTGATCTTCATCTTTTTTCTGTGTTTTTACAAATTAATGAGAGGAGAGAAAACTTGAAGTTACTGAGAAAAATGTTATTAGAAAAAAATATTGCTGGCCAGTCCAATTCTTGACACTTTTTTGTATATTTATAAATAAAATGATTGAAGCAATGCTACATGTAAAAAATAGCTGAAGTTGTAAAGAAAAATTTTGCAGGGAAATTTAATGAACCCGAAGTCACCCTTAAATACTCTTCTATTTTTTTACAAATAAAACAACTGAAAATAGTAATGTTACGTTAAATAAAAACCAGTTAAAGTCACAAAGAAAATTTTTGTAGAGAAATCTCCCAACTTTGAAGTCACCCTTAAATACTCTTCAACATCTTTACAAATAAACCAACTGAAAATATCAACATCACACAGAAAAAAGCAGCTAACGTTATAAAAAGAAATTTCGCAAATAAATCTACAAAATCTGAAATCCCTCAAACGCATCTCCCCATCTTCACAAAATAACCAAAACTATAAACATTATCCGAACAAAAAGAAGATAAAGCTACAAAGAAAAATTGCGCAAAAAGATTTAAAGAATGTGACCCTCATCAAAGAGTAAAATGAAACGCAAACAGGTATACGTGTCTTATTGTCCAGCCAGGGAAATTTAACCGACCAGTCAGGATCGTCGCGGATTCGCAACAAACGAGCAAACAAGCACGAACAAACGTCCGCGTCTACGTAACGCAAATCGATTGTCGCACTGCCTTGTTCCCCATTGGCGAGCAACAAACAATGCGAACGCGGACGAGCCTCGAAATCTTTGTTTGCTGTCCGCGCATCGTATTAAACGTCCACGTTCGAAGTTTCCCACGTAAATCCGCGTACCACGATTGTTTTGCAAATTGGACGCGCTGTACGCAACTGAAATTTATTCTACTTCATTCGATTTCGATCGATCTGCTGAAATTTTCTTGGGGAGCTTGCTTTGGATTATAGAAATTTTTGTGGTTTTTAATTTGGGGTGTTGGAATGAACAATGGCGGTTAGGAAGATGGAGACTTGTGTAGAAAGGTGGAGGAGTGGATGTTTGGGAGTTTGGGGATTTTGGAAGTGGAGGGTTAGAAATTTGGGGAGGTACCAAATTGGGGACGTAGGAATTTTGGGGAGTGGAAATTTGGGGAGGTTGGAATTTCGGGGCGTAGATATTTGAGAGCGTAGAAATTTGGGGATGTAGGAATTTGGGGGCGTAGGAATTTGGGGGACGTGAGAATTTGGGGGAGTAGAAAGTTGGAAGCGTAGAAATTTGGGGAGGTTGGAATTTGGGGGAGTAGAAATTCGGATACGTGGGAATTGGGGGGAGTAGAAATTTGGAAGCGTAGAAATTTGGGGGCATAGAAATTTGGGGGAGTAGAAATTTGAAAGCGTAGAAATTTGGGGGAGTAGAAATTTGGAAGCGTAGAAATTTGGGAACGTAGAAATTTGGGAGAATAGAAATTTGGGGGCGTAGAAATTTGGGGGAGTAGAAATTTGGAAGCGTAGAAATTTGGGGGCGTAGAAATTTGGGAGAATAGAAATTTGAAAGCGTAGAAATTTGGGGGGTCGGAATTTGGTGGCGTAGAAATTTGGGGGCGTAGGAATTTGGAAGCGTAGAAATTTGGGAGAGTAGAAATTTGGAAGCGTAGAAATTTGCAAGCGTAGAAATTTGGGTGCGTAAAAATCTGTGGACGTAGAGATTCGGGGTGCCTAATTATTTATTTTA